CCATCTTGCCCCGCCCTTCTCTGTATGCTTTTTAAGGCTATGTGTAGGTATTTCTTTTTAAGTTATTGTAAATGACATCATTTTTTAAATTTTGACTTACATATGTTTGTTGCTAATATATAGAAATAACATAAAATAAATTTGTGTGCCTCCGAACATTTTAATTAAAATAAAGTTCAACTTCTATGCTCTAGATAGCTCTTTGTGTGCGTGTGTGCACACATGCACTAACATGCATGTATTGCTGTGGGAGAGTTCAGGCCTGCTGGTGGAAAATGCAGATTGCAGGGTTAACCCCAGATCTAATGAACCAGGACAACTTAGGTCTTAATGTAAAAATGTTCAAGGTTTGGTTTTCTTCATAGATGAATATGTTATGGAAATTAACTCCTAAGAACAATTTAAATTATTCATTACTTTTGAATTTTGGTTCATCAAAATGTGTCTTGGAATGGAGTGTTCATTTGGCTGAGGTGTGGAAATGATTTTCTGATACTAGCCCTAGTGGCAACTGGGCAAAACTTCACAATGCAGAGCAATGTTGACAAAGTCAGACAACTTCTGGAGAGAGAGCTGGACCAATTTGGTATTCCACTTCCTCCTAGGGAGGTGGGATACCAAAAGCTTGCAAATGGGTTTGGACCTGAGACCATGTCCTCTGGGCATGTGAGGGACTACAAGGTAAACCTGGCCCTAATTACCTTGACCCTTCCCTTGGCCGGGCTATGAGGTACCCTGTGGTCCCTAGCTGTTCAGAGGCCCTCAGCAGGGGCAAAAGAAAAAAGAAACCAAATTCACTGCTGTTGAGTCAGATCCAACTCATAGCGACCCCTCCTTGGGTTTCAAAGGCCGTATCACCACGGAAGTAGATTGCCCAGTCTTCCTTCCAAGGAATGGCTGGTGGGTTTGAACCCCCAGCCTTCTGGTTAGCAGTCAGTTACCTTATGCACTACACCACCAGAGCTCCTACCTAGTATTTCAGCCTCCTGCCTTCTCTTCTGGTTAAAATCCCACTCCCTTAAGGCAATGGCTCTCAGAGAGAAAAAGGAGGGTAAAAGAAGTCTCTTCTAGTGTTTTAACCTGTCCCCAACTTTTGTAGTGAAGAGGTAGAGATCTCTCCCACAACATGCCTCTGAGATCTTCTGTTGTGAAGACTAGGAGGCCCCTGTGGGTGTTTGCCTCCACAGCCTTGACTGCACCAATGAATATTTTGAAATCCTGGATGGCCCGCCATCCTCAGCAAAGTCTCTGGGGAAGATCTGTGCTGGCTCCTATCTCACCTATGCATCCTCCTCCAGCTCAATGACCCTCGTGTACTTCCGAAGCTTCAACAACATCGGCAAAAACTTCATTGCTTATTATTACTCCACAGCCAAAGGTAAGAATGGAGGGTGAGAGCAACAGCTGTAGAGCC